AATGCTGCATATCAGGTTGATCGCTTTAAGTACTCCCAAGAAATAATGCCAAACATTTAAAACATTTTTTAGACAGATATCCAAGATAGTAGCCAAATCTTGTGATTCATCCAACTTATTATATCCAAAACAGGTTCAAAATGGCTACTTCTGATTTAACTTCAATCCAAAATGGCTGTCCTGGGGCCGATTTCTCTGAGGTTGCTGCAAGGTTTTTTTGTGGTGGAAATTTGCAATACCCTGGCTTCTTTCTTGTGTATTAAAACCACATAAACATGTCTTTCAAGAACGTCAACTTAGGTGCCCTTTATAATTTTAGTTTTAGTCCTGCCTCGGTCTTCATCTTGCTTGCAAATTCACACAAGTTAGATTTCTTGATGTTTGAAATCGTAGTCTTTCCAACTCCATACTCAGTGGCAAGCTTCAATGTCAGATTCTCAAATATATTTTATTATTACATTTTTTACATTATGAGTTTTTCATATCGTACCTCGAACAATACAATAAACAGTCAAACACCCTCCTAGTTTGGGAGACGATTTGATTGACAAGTCCGGGTGGTAATTTCCACGTCGGTGTTTAACACTTCTTTCAAAATGCAACACTTATGTTATTCATGTTATAAAACCTCTGTTTCACGTACACAAAGCATTATAATAAACTGACACACGAGACACAGGATAGGCAACAAACAGTGACACAGATTACTGGGAAATTTACACCGAACAATGATAACTGACAGGGGACACAAGACACATTAGGATAACAGGATATTTGACGTTTGGATAACCAACGTTTTACTGTAATTGTAATTAAGAAAAATTGGACAAAAAGTTACTGGAGTTATCCTGGACACAAAAATTGTTATCGATGACAACGACAATGACAGCGGTACATATTGTATTTTTCATTAACACTATGGACAAGGGTAAAAAGTGTAAACAAATAAACGCTGCTCAGATATAAAGTAGATAATATTTGGTAATCGTTGTGCTAAGTAACTATTAAA